GAAAGCAGGTGCTTCCACCAGGTTTTACTCGGCTGCGTGGGGCTTTGCCTGTTGTGTTATCGCTGACACACTTGGCCTTGACTTTCACGTATGAGCTGATCCCTGTTTCTAAGTTTTACCAAGTGGCATATATGGAAGGTGAGATTTTCACGATACAGGATGTCGCAGAGCATGAGGTTCCTCCGGGACATCGCGTGAACCACCGCCCTCAGGACCCGCAGGAGTGGCTGACGTGCTGGTAGCACTGCACGGGGTCGGACTCGCTTCCAGGTGCAGAGAGCTGCAGAGTCACGACACTCGGTACTTTCACAAATACTTTTTCAGAGAAGTTACTCATTTAGATGACAGTAAACCAGCCACCTTGTCTTTAGTGCCCAAACCGCCCGGTTACAGCACGAGCTTAGGGAGGGGAAGCCCTCGTGAAGCCTTTACTGTGGCTCCTTGTCGCTCAAAGGCCTTCAGCTCTTTCTTCCACCTCCAGACTGTCCCAGACTATTTTTATAGTCTGAACCCATCTGTTCTAACCTGTACTCGCTGCTGTTTATAATACTGATGCTAATTATCTCTTCGACATCTCCCCACTCCTTGCTAGAAGCCTCGATGCCCCCAGGCCGCCACTGGTTCTCAGCCCTTCTTGCCCAGGCGGCTTGGGTTGGAAGGACCCGGGTTTGCCCTCCAGAGAGAACTTCATCCTTTCTGCACTCCAGTCCCACTCACAGAGGGAGCTCTTCCTCTGAGTCGAGTGAAATAATCTGAATTCTAAACGTCTTAAGCATCTTGTTAACAGGATGAGTTCAAACAAGTCGAAGAGGTTCCCTCCCACCCCACGTCTGTCCAGTTCTCCGTCTGGAAGTTCCCTCTGGGGTGTGGGCCGGTGGTGGGGCTCACTCCCTGTGCGGGGCCGCCCGTCCGTGTTTGTTTATCAGGGTTTGTTTTCATCTGTGGGTCCTGCCATCTCTTCCCTCTGATTAGAAATCCCCTAAGGGGCCTAACATTGATTCTACAATCGTTGTTGATTTATCAACTTCTTTTTCTTTTTTAATCAATTTTTTCCCCTTATTTCTTGTTTAAGGTTCAGGAAGTTGCTACTGTAATGAGTGAAACTGCAGCTTCCAACAGGCCCTAAGAGCAAGTGGAAACCCCACTGAGAGTGGAAACGTCATTTTAAATGATGGTTTAGGATGGATCAGTCCTACCCCTTAGAAAGAAATCATTTCAGTAGAAACTGAGTATTTCTAAATTGACGAGTCTCCTAGAACTGTGTGCTGATGGTGGCGCCTCATGGTATTTCCAAAAGCCGTAGAGGAGGTGCTCCTGATGGTTGCAGAGAGAGGGATTTTTTTCAGGTGAGTCAGGTCTTGACCTTTAGGACTTTACTCACGCCTCGTAGCTGATAGTTGAACTGAGAAGGAAGTAAGTCAGGAAGCAGTGGGGACAGAGGGGACACAGTGCCAGGCAGTGAGGGGTGCTCTGCAAATGCTTGCCGGACAAATGAGTGAAAAGCAGAAGCAGCCCTGAGAATGTAGGGACAGTTGTGATGGGCAGGATCTCAGAGCTTCTGGGATCAAATCCAGTGAAAAACATCCAGACCAGCCCACTGTGAGCATGAGTGTGACCTGTGTTGGGGAAAACATGTGTTCCTTTTAGAATAAAATTCTAGAGAATGAAGGAGGGGGAAGGAAGGCTGAATGTCACAAGAAGTTGAATGAGAGGAACAGAAGATGAAGGCAAAGGGGAGACACAGGTGAGGCTGGTAGAAGGAACGGGAACAGAATTGATGCAAATGAGCTCACGTTTCTGCTTTTCTTTCTTATTCCCTTTCCTTCTTTCTGGTACTTACAATCAGAATTCCAAAGGGAGATTTAAGAGCAATTTGGAAATAAGTTAAGTAAGACAACACCAGGTGGCAAATAGCAATTTAATTTTCGTTGCCAACGGGGCTGAAGTCTCGGGGTGCTTTTTATTGGAAGGGCTGGGGGAGGGGAGGGGAGAACCATTAAGTGTGTTGTGATGAAAGCAGCACCGAGGTTGAGGGGGCTTGGATAAGAAATCCTTCCACGCCTGCATCACTTCCTGCTTTCATCTCCCCACTGCTGCAGAATCGGTTGTACACTGAAGATGTCCTGTCGGCGCTGGTGCTCGCAGGGAGCAGTGAGCTGAGGCTGCGAGGCTCAGGCTTCGGGGAGCAGGCGCTGCCTCCCGGCCTGTGCTTGCAGAGGGCGGGGCCGCCACGCAGGGGCCCCGCCCAGGGTCCTC